ATCATCATCATCATCATCATCATCATCATCATCATCACCACCACCATCATCAACATCACCATCATCATCACCACCATCATCAGCATCACCATCTGCCTCACTCCAGTCATCGTCCTATCACAGTGGCTTAAGTTAATCGAGAAGAACCTTGCCGCTGTGATCTGCAGGCCCGGTTCCGTGTGAACAGAGAAGTATTGGAATGCCAGGTGGGAGGAATAGTATATTCTATACATAGCTAGTGGAGAATAGATTGGAGGATGTGGACGGGCGCACGACCACCCGCGAGGACGGCGTCCGGAGTGTGAGAGTGCGGCAGTCGTCACAATGAGATTCTGTGTGCGTTAGCCTTGAAAATGACTGTCCAGGCCGGACTGCGGCCGGCATAAACTCGTGCGCAAGTGCTAACAGTCGCGAGAGGCCAGAGGTTGAGCGTTGCACAGAGTTGTGTCACGACAAGTGCTTCCTTCCCAGATCGGAGTTTGGGAAAAATATCCGGAGGAAGAATAGTTAATTTAGTTAACGAGATACATATCAATAGTAGTTTTGTGGACAGTTTGGGTGATTGCGGCCAACAGGAAGGAGCTAGGGTGATAGGGCGGCTGGAAAAAACCAGTGGTTGAGATGCACGTTGACGGCAACTAGGTATGCCGTGTCAGTATCGGTTGGGTCCAGTGAAGAGAGATACTGTTGACAGTAGAAGTAAGATCGGATATTGGGAAAGAGGCCTGGACGCTAACACTCACGGAGGAAAAGTCAAGAAAATAGGGCGATAATGTTAAAAGTCAATTGGTCTAACTCCTCGGCTTAGTACTCCCCCTCTGCCCTCTGAGGCCGAAGATATACACTTATAAACAAGGTGAGTGACTAGACGATCTGGAAAGTGAACGTGGCGTCCAGTGCAGGTAGTGCATGCAGGAGGTGCTGGGGAAGAGGAACTTGTGGTCGGAATTTTGAAGCTTGATGAGGAAGTAGTTAGAGTTGATGACAGCGGACAGTGTGAAAGAGATTGTAGATGGGGGGGAGGGGGGTGATACAGGGTCAGGGAGGAGGGAAAAAGGGATCACCGCATTGAGAAGTTCTACTTTCACGACCTCCTCCTCCTGGGTGCGGAAGCTCTCTCCGGTTCCGCCCAGGCCCTCCATCTCCAAGTCTTACTTCAAAAAAGAGTTGGCTATCTGCTCCCATGTTTCTCACTTAGGTTGATTTATCCGTCCAGCCTACTGCAACTTATGCGATTAAGGTTGGGGCTCCCCGGTGGATGCCTCGTAGCTCAGTTGGCTAAAGCTTTGGCTGTACTAGAATCTTCCCCTTGCTGGAGTGGGGTTCGAATACCACCGAGGCCGCTGACTTTTTCATAATTGGGTCAAATTAATTATACACATAAGCCAAACTCTCACTGGGCCCCGCGAAATGGCCCAAAGGAAAACAGCGGCGAGAAGCAACCGATTTAATCAGTACACCACACGACGCAGTCAGCGTTTGCGAGATACTACATATGTCGCATAAGCACTAGCCAGAGATGTGCCTATGACATTTTCACGCGTTAGAACCACTGTGCCCCATGAGAGCATCTTCCAAACTTTGTCGAATATTTTGCCTGCCTGACTTGTGATACCATGCTTTTGTTGCAGACACAATCAACGAACAAACACCGACTGATATAGCTGCTGTGGAAAAAGACATCACACCATAGAAACGGCCTAAAATAGTCGATTTAACAATGCTAATAGCTACGTCTAAGAGAAAATCCGAGGTACATTCTACTCCTCACGAGGCATAACGCGTCTGCGGGGAACTTAGATGGGATTGCCAGCATGCTCAAGTAGACCCGGACATACTGTTCTTATTAACAATCGTTCTTCCTAAAAA